CAAACGGTATTTTTTTCAATGCAAGACGATATCTTGATAATCAAGAAATTAAATACAATTCATGACATCAATGATACCAAGGAGAAAAACTACAACTTTGTCTTTAGATGCTCAGAATGCGTGAATACACTTCAAATCTGTTCCTGAGTTCTGTTTTTTTTTTTAAATAGCACTTTCCTAGTACGATAAAGAAGAGATATCATAAATTAACATGTACCCACAAGCCCGAAACTAAAACACTAGGAATATTTTCATTAAGGTTAGAAAGAAACAAGAGAGTAGCAGCTATAACTATTATTACTTACTATATTCTTAAAAACAACATGAATATACAAATAAATAAGACACATAGCTATTAGGAAAGAGAAGAAGAAAATCATTATATCTATAATAGGAAAACCACTAAAATCAGTTAAAACTATTAAAGCAATAAGTGAGTAGTAAGGCTGTTAGTTTTTCTACTGATTAGAATAGGTTCTCTTCGGACCGGCCCGTGGGGTGGTGTGTAAGACGGCTGGATCCCACAGGGCTGACTGCACGGTTCACGTCGGGGACTCGGTGGCTCGGGATACACGCTGACAGTACGTGCACAAGGCCCAACATCTCAGAGGAGGGAGAGCTGGAGGAGGAGGGACTGTGGCGGGGACTGTGGCATGACCCTGCCCCACGGCGCCTACTTTCCATTCTCTCAGTGAGCACACATGCCCAATAGCTAAATTAAAAACAAATAAATAAAGATGCTCTTCAAGTGGTAATGTTGATATTATAATAAAGTACACTTAAAAGAAATTCACTAGTGAGCACATTTGAGTATTCTAAAAATACCCAAAAAAATGTTAAGATCCACATACTGTTGAGATTTCCTTTGAAATAAATTAAATAAAAAATGTGAGTAAAACCCTTCAAAGGTTTCTGATGCCTAGATTATCCACACAACTAAGGATTCTCTCTCTCTCTCTCTCTCTCACACACACACACACACACACACACACACACAAACACTTTTCATTCAATTCACACTGATTACTGACACTGGCTTCTTATCAACCCAGCAACCAGCCACGGCAGAGCTAAAATCAGTTCAGAAAAAGGCAAATTAATATTTATTATTTCTCTCATGCTGTGAAAGGAGAAATTCTACGTTTCCTCTCAGGATATATTCCTGAACTTTTAAAGATTTAACCATATGGAAGAGATCTAAAAGAGTATATGAAAAGGCTAAAGATTTGGAATCCTAATTCAATTTCCCCTCACATTTTAATAGGAGCCTCTAGCAAACATTTATTTTTAGAGATATTTTTGGCAAGGAATTGAACAAAAGACTATTATGTGTTAAACATGGTGAGGTCTCTCCGGTCCCATCCATACCAACTTTAAAAATATCAGGTTGAAATTAAATGATTTGAAATTTTAAATCAACGATTTCCAGACCACAAAATCCATTCCACACTTAGCAGCATGTGTAAGTTTTCTAAGTGAGTTACAGCTGAGTTCAAATGTAAAATGTGCATTTCTCAAGGGCCAATAAAAGAACTTTCCTTTAGACTTCAACTATATAACGTCGAATTGTCCAGGAATACCGTACGGTGTTTTCATTTCCTTTTCCAACAAAAATGTTCATCTGCGCTTGATAAATCTCCTGCCTCTGTATCATATTGGATGAAAAGCATATGGGTATCACATCTCTCTCTACAGTTTTCTTATTAAATGGGGATGATGGCTTTTTCTCTAAATGAACAAGAGTAAAGACAACGGGAGTTGATAGGCCTGCCCCGAGCACTCGGAACATCTCTGTTCTTATTGGTGACACATGTCCCGCCGTGGGCCTGCTGAAGTACAAAAGGAAACAAGACTGTGATTGGCAGTGTGGTCGTTTTCAAACACACTCACACACTCTCTGACCTGCTTCCCATTTAAAGGTGAAGTTAGTTCTCACCCTATGAAAATGGATCAGTCTTACTAACTCACTTGCAGTAAACGGAACTTGGCAGAAGAGAGGCTGAAGACTTGGGAGGCTAGGTCATAAAAAAATGAGACAGCCTCCACCTGGTTCTCCCTACCGGGACGCCCATCCAGAAAAGCCAGCCACCACACTGCAAGGAAGCCAAGCAGCCAAAGGAAAAGGCCTCAGCCCCATTCCCAGCCACAACCAGCACCAGCCTTGGGGCATTATGAGTGACGGAGCCTTCATATGATTAAACCCCCCAGGCTTTGGGCCACCTCAACAGGCGACGCGGAACAGAGACAAACCGTCCCCACCTACATGCCCCAAGTACGGAAGCATGACAAAAATAAAAGCCATCTTTGTTTTAAGCCATGAGCGACAGGTTACTGCAACACGTAGATTATTTCAGCTAAATTCAGCCAACTTATTCTTCATACTTCGAACCCATCTGACAAGACAAACTATTTCAAAGAAAAAACCTGAGGTGACATTCCCAGCCTCAGTTACTCACCTAGGGACCCAAGAGCTAGAATGGCAGCGTCAGCACCCGGGCGGCCAGCTGGCCTCCTGTGGGCTGTCTGCCTCTCACCTGGTCACATCCCAGACGCCCTGGCCTCTTCTGCCCTGCTTTCAATCCTAGCCTTGAAAAGTTGTTCGTAGTAAACACCCTGGCTTAGGAAACCATTAACACATATTCCACATTCTTAATCAATGAACAATGTGAAATTTGCCTAGAAAGGTCATTCTATGACTCTGAGGTAGGTAACTAGTTCAAGATGCTCTGAGGGAGTCACTGGAATAGGTTATCAATCTCACCATGTAACCACAACAAAATATCTGCTATTCCTTCTAGTGAACACTAGGGGGAGAAGTATCCTAATTACTAAATAAAGTTTTTCAAGAAACACAAGCAGGAAAAGTTAAAAACCAGAGGAAACCTTGGAGATAGCTTCTAGTTTAAAATTGCAATGTAGAATTTTTTTCAGCCACTGGGAGGCTGGATGATCCAGGGAAGATTTTCACGATGTAAGGACAGGGTGTCATTCTGCTGTAGTCCTGTGTCTCAGACTCTCAAGAAGCTGGGAGCACGGGCGCACACCACCGTGGCCAGCTTCCAAGCTGGTCTGGGAATTAAACCCAGGGGCCCCATGGGTCCTCGATAGCGTCTTCACAGCATGTGCCACGGTGCTAGACCTAACGTCTTGTCCTTAATATTTAAAATATAAGAGAGGGACCAGCAGATGGCTTAGCAGTTACGTCACTGAACTCCCACATAGCTGACTGTGGTTGGAGTGTAGGACCTGGGGGCTTAAAAATAAACATCGGAGCGTGCATGTGCGTGCCCAAGATCCTGGGGGGAGAATAAAGGAAAAGAGACTGCAGGATAGCCATGCCCCTGGCGGGTGAGTTCTCACTTTCCCTCTCACTCTCTCTCTCTCTCCCCCTCTGGCAAGCACACATCCCCTAAGGCCAAAACCTCTCCAAAAAAAAAAAAAAAAAAAAAAGAGGGAGAGCAAGATAACAACTATGATAAATATAATAAGATCCCTAGGATTTTACAAATAGGCTTCTTAGAATAAAATTGTAAGTGGCTGTTCTATTCCTACCCAGAGAAATGTTAGTGATCACTGCTCTTGTGCCAATCACCTGGGAGAACGGAAGGCCAGCGAGATTATGGAAGTGGCCTAAGGCCCTATGAGCAGTCAGTGGCAGAGCTATGAGCAGGATTTGGGTAGACTCATACTTTCTACTCACACGGACTAACTTGATTTGGATGAACGGAAGGAAACCAATTACTGCATGTGTCAGTCGAAAAGGCAAATCACAGTGCTGGCTGGGCTCCAGCTCCTTCCTCACCACACCCTTCTGAGGGACTGCCGACCTCCCGAATGTAAAGCAGCAGAGCCACAACGGAGGGGCCGGGCGTCACCGGGCATCACCGGGCAAACGTGGCTCGCGGAGTGAGCTGGCGATGTGCACGTCATTCAAACCCCACTCCCCCTCACCTTAGAGGCCTGAAGATGTGAAACACTCAATCCCAGGCCTCCGTGCAGCTCAGGGTGGCCCGGTGCGAAGGAAGGCTTATAAATAAAAGAAGGCTGCCTTCCACACTTTTTCCAGTGTTCTTTTGAACAAAGTCAGCTGCAGAAGCACGTTAAATTCTATTCATTGCGAAGGTTCGACAGCATTAATATTTTCCAGAGGAATGGGAAAGAACAGCTGGCACTGATGAGAAACTAGTAATTTTACTCATTTAGTGCCAAAGAAATATGAGTAATAAAGAAAAGAATGTATCTCTGCAGGGCAGTGGCAAAATGCTTTGGCAAACTTCTTGGGTGACAGTTCACAAAATTCAGACAAGCCATTTACTTCTGAACTGATAGCCTAGATCTTTTTTCCTGAAATTTAAAGAGAATCCCCAGCCCAAGCCATTGCCCTATAAATAGCTTTGTAGGTGACAATGACCCTATGATCTCTATGATCTTTGAAACTGTTTTCAGAACCCACCAACAGGTAGTAATATAACTTCTATTAAGCAAGTGATAAGCCGGAAAGAAATAAGGAACACTATACTATATGGGCATGAACAGATACCAACTGCTGTCAGTAACACAATACTCAAAGGATTTAAACAGCCCTGGAAAAGAGTAACAAGTTTAAACAGATCCCTACTTCAGAATATAGTCGTTTCGAACGATTTAGAATCAGACCTGTAACGCCAGAGATGTCGTAGCCATCTCACTGACTTGATGTGAGTAGGGAGTCCCCTTCCTATTCCCCAGTGAAGAGAACCCCCAGCTGAGGACAGAGGTTCACAGATTACCTAGGGTACACGTGTAAACCAGAGCTACCGTAACGCTCAGCAAGTCATTAACCCACATGCTGGTTACTCTAATGTACTAACTTATTACTGACAGGCAACAACAAAACACCTTTGCCAGACTAGAAAAGAGATCAAAGTTAATTCCCTCAAACACTCTGACTACGTGCTTAGTATGAGAGGTATGGTCGTCTCGCAGGATGGAGTACAGACATAACAGCAGCGTCACTCTACCTAGCACATTTCCTGGAGGGACTTCCTCGAGATCTTCCAGTTCCCTTCCCATCAGAAGATACAGGTTTTCCAGGGTGCAGCACGCCATATGAGGGACCGGGGGGAGGTCGTCTAGTGGAGCTGAGAAGCCTTGTGGCACCTGGACAAAGAAAAACATGAAGACAAGTCAGGGGGCCTCTGAAAACACAGCTGGTACCTGCAGAGCTCTCTGTATTCACCAGTCAGGTACAGTGCAGCCACTTACCCCGTGAACCTGAACGAAACGTGCAAATTTGAAATGTGTGATAAAAAAATAAATCTCATTTTATGAATAAAACTGGAAATACTAAAATGTCTCAAACATTAAAAAGTTGTCTAGATTTCTACTTCATTTTTCTTTTTGAATTTGTCAGAGTGTGTGTGCTTGGTGGAGACAAGAGAGAAGGAAAGTGAAAAGTCAATGCCCACTGGGGCACGGTCACGCCCCAGTCCCTTCTCCATTTCTCCCTCCTTTCAGGATTCTGAGCACACGTGCACACGCACCCAGCATGTTTTTCAAGCTACCAGGACCAGGACTTGAACCAAGCAGCTGGCCATATGGAATCTGGTTGCCTTAACCACCACGCTGCTGGCTGGCCCAGATTCCCACTTAATATAAGCTTCATGGCTAAGTAGTGACCTGGAAGCACCATTTGAACTGATCCCCAAAGCCCCCGGCCAGTTTTCACGGGAATCATGTCACAAACCAGTTCCGGAGACTACTGTGCTACGTATTCAACACTCGGTATCTCTACAGTCTTTTAAACTGTTTTCAGGTGATAAAGTTCTTCAAGCCTTCAACGGAAGCTGGTGCTAGTGCTGGGTAATGCGGATGAGTAACTTTGGAGGAGTAGTAGGAAGTAATAAAAATACCATGAAAAGGGCCAAGTAATTGCCGTCATAGGCTATGCTGTGAACCTGGAAGAGAGCGTCTGTGAGGTACTGCAAACACTGGTGAGAACACGGGGTTCGCACACAGCAAACACACGCCACAGAGCCAGACTGAGAACGCTGACATCGTATTTATTCTCATCGAGACCATGTCTGGCATGATTCAAGTTCTGAGTTCTGTGAATGTTCTTTGGAATGTATCTTTCATATAAATACAGGAACCCAGAGAGCATTTCAATCTACCAACCAACGTAACTTTGGTACCCACAGGCCCAAGGAGCTGTGCCAGTGGGATGAAGAAGAAAAGTGGCTAGGACACAACAGCTACAAAGAGAACCAAGACCACAGGCGTGGAGTGATTGACAAGTCACACAGGCAAGGCTATGCATGAAGGCTCCGGGGAGGGGAGGGTCCTGTGTTAGGGTGGGCCCAATGAAACTAAAGGCCTTTCAGGCACATGCTCCATCTAAATGTATATGCAGTGTGCCTCTAAAGATAGGTTGGCAAGAAAGAAAAAAATACGAAGACTGGACAGATAGAAAGAAACAGAATTATTTAGATAATTTGGCTGCCCTTTTAAACTAATCTACAGATAAATTATAATTAGTAAAACAGTTTTCCAAGGTGGCAAAGACTCAAGATCAATATACAAAAGTTAACTGTTGTTCTATCCATCAGCAATGAACTCTGTCTATAAGTACATATATATATATATATATATACACACACACACACTATATATGTAGTATATATAGTAAATATACATATACATATACACAATATATGTAGTATATGTATTACATATATAATATATACTACATCTGGTATATACTATAATAATACATATACTACATATATATATATAGATACTGTGTATAGTGTATATACATATGTACACACACTACACGTATATACTATATATGTATACTGTATATATAGTATATATATACATAGTATATAGAGATAGATACACACATTTTTTTTTTAAACCAGTAACTTTTAGAATAGCAACAAAATATAAGGTGGCGAGGGACAAGTCTAACAAGTGACTGAAGATCCTTACGGAGAGAGCGACAATCCTTTAATGAGAAACAATAAAACAAATCTAAATAAATGGGCACTCCCGATACACTCACGGACGGAAGGATGCTAGATGACAAAATGTGGATTCATGCCAAATGGAGGTATTAGTTGCAGTAATTCCAATCAACATCAATGGGGTTTCCCACAGACTCTGACAAACTGATTATAAATTTTATATAAATGAGAAAAGAGTCAGAAATAAATAAAACATTCAGCAAGAAAAACAAGGTAAGAGGGATTAGGCCTTTTGGATGTGAAAACGCTTAGAAATGAATAGAGATGTGAGGGACACACAGAAAAAAATCAAAAAAAATGTATACGTGCAATCGAGATAATGACAGCTGATTAGTAGATAAAGACGAACGAACTATTTGATTATGTTGGAACAATTTGAATAGAAAAAAAATGAAATCAAATAACATCAAATACTTTTCATGCCACATACAAGCACTGAATCAAACATTTAACATGGAAGGCAAAACATTAAACTCTGTAAGGAAACATGCAAAACGGATGATTTCAACTATACTGAGAGCTTCTGTCCTTTAAAGGATGCCAAACTGAAAGTGAAGACATGCCCCAAACTGGAGAAGAAATCTGCAAAACTTAAAACTGACAAGGAATTAGTAAACAATATACAAAGGACATCTAGAAACCACTATTAAAAAAAAAATAGTAGTACAATAGAACAAGTGGGAAATGGGGACCAGCACATGGCATAATGGTTGCTGGACTCCCACACAGTTGATTGCAGTTCAAGTTCCAGACCTGGCAGCTGGAAACTCACGCTGGGCACATGTGCGTGTGTACCTGAGATCCTGAGAGGAAAACGGAAAAGGGATTATGGTGTGGCCATCCTCCCTGGGGGGTGATTTCTCACTTCCTGTCTCTCTGTTTCTGTCTCTCTGGCAAGTGCATGCACCCTATAGCAAAAATCTAAAAAGAAAAATTTGAAAATGACTCAAGGAGATATCTTCACAGAAGAAAAGATGATAGACCAATAAACATATTAAAAGAATAATAAAGGAAATGTAAATTAAAACTACTAAAATGCCACGACATACCTATCACATTGGCATAAACTAAAAAACCCAGCAATACCAAACGTTGGTGAGGAAGTGGAACTGTTAAACACTTCTGTTGGGAGTAAATCAGAACTACTTTGGAGGATAATTTGGAATCAATAATTTAGCTAAAGCTTACACAGGAAATACCACTACAGGTGTATTCCTTAGAATTTTTTACAAGTGTTCACAGGAAGGTATGTACAAAACCATTCAAGGCAGCATCACTTAGATTAAAAAATGAAAGCATCTCAAATACAGAATGTCAGGAAAATGGGTAAATAAAATGCAACTTTATATTATGGAATACTATGCAGCAATGAACAGCACATGAACTACAGAACAAGCACTAACAGAGTAATCTCACAATGCTAAGTAAAAAAAGAAAAAAATGAAGAATAACTACAGTGCGATTCCATATACACGAAGTCCGAAACATGAAGACCTAACAATACCATTTTCAGAAATGCCTATCTACATAGGCGTGTAACTAGAAACAAATGCAAGAGAAGGATGTGCAGGCAGACTGAAGGTGTCCTCCCAGGGTCCCTGCTTCCTGGAACTCACACCTGTGTAACCCTCCCTCCCGAGACTTGCAAGGCCCACTTCTAACTAAGGGGACACAGCTGTCATTCCCGTGACTCTGTAGCCCCACACAGGATCCAGTCTTGGTGGATGTGCTTTTGCGTCTCCTGGATGGACTGATGAAGTAAAGCCCCAAGATGAGAAAGTTCAAGTAGCAGGCCACTGCGTGTGACCTCCTAGGGACGGAGGGCAGCCAACAGCCAGAAAGAATCTGGGCTTCTCACTCCTACAGGTGCAGACGGGAGCTCTGCGATCGACTATGCGAGCCTGGGAGCAGATTCTTCCATCAATCCTCCCGATGAGAAGGCAGCCTGGCTACACCGACTGTGGCTTTGTGGGTTCCCGAGGATGAGACCCAGCTAAGCCATGCCTGGAGCTCTTAACCCACAGAAGCTGCTGATAACAAAACATCTACTGTTTTAAGCTGCTAAATTCGTAACTCGTAATACGCAGCAATAAAAAAATAAAAAAATAAAAAAAAAACCACAATGGGGTAAATGCAAAATCCTAGGATAGGTATGAAATATTTCACTTTCTTTTTCCCAAAAGGTAGATTAAAATTAGTTTTTAAAAAAAAAACTTGCAAGAAAACACGTGCACTGATAGGGTGGGAGGTGGGGGGAGAGAGAAAGCACCACCCCGTAGGGGATGGTGACACCACAATCCCTTCTCTTCTCTCTCTCCCTCCTTTTGGAATTTTGGGCACATATGCACACACGCCTGGCATGATTTCCAAGCCACTAGTCCAAGACTTGAAACCAGGTAGTCAGTGGTGTGGGATCCAGCCACCTTTCCCACCAGGCCACCAGCTGGCCTAGAATTTGGTTTTATGGAGCTCCAGCTACAGAAATAAAGATCATTTGTGCTATCGATAAACAGTATTGGGACCAGCAGTTAGCGTAATGGCTATGTCTCTGGACTCCCACGTAGTCGACTGCGGTTTGCGTGCGTGCCCAAGATCCCAAGAGAATGGAGGAGAAGGAATTGCGGCGTGGCCATCTCCCCTGGGGGGTGATTTCTCGCTTTCTCTCTCTCTCTCTCTCTCTCTCGGTCTGTCTGGCGAGCACACATGCCCTTTAGCAAAAATCTCTCCAAAATAAATAAGTAAACAAACAAACAAACAAACAGTATCATT